TAAAACTACTTTTGCCCCACCCTGTGTATATCATAAAACATTTTTCTATTCTTGGGGTAATTTTTTTGAGTCTCAGTCTTTCTCTCTTTATCTTGCTTAGTGTGGATATAGTTTATTTAACTATTCTTTTCAAGGAAATTATGCTTGTTTTCAGTTTTTGCTTTTTTTAATAACTGCATAGTATGTTCTTTTTGTGTATCATAATTTACTACATAAATGATTCTATTAGCTTGAGGCTTTTAGGGCATTTTGAAATAATTTTGGGTTTAAATGTATTAAGTTAGAAAAGCATGTAAAAGCTAAGGCATTTTGAGAGGAAATGCAGTGATGAAGTCATCCGGGTGCCAGTTTGCTACGGGGCAGAACTGACAGGATGTTGCAGAGAAGTAGTGCATGGGCAGAGTTAAATACCTGTCTCAGGTAAGTAATGGGAGATTTAGCTCCATTCCATAAATGTTTTGGTTGGCATTCAGCGAACCAGTACAATCAGAGAACTTGCGATTTCGTGGAGGATCTTATGAAAAACACAACATATCTAAATGGTTTTCACAGCTGAGTTGGGAAAGTTATGTCCGACCTGCTGGAGCAGTTTTGTTCATTACATGAATACATTTGCACAACACTGGGCGACACCTGGGTTCAGGCTGTAGCGTTCTAACTTGACACTACTCGTGTATCAAGTTCACCTGCACTAACTCATAAGTTAGAAAAGCAGCAGTTGGATAATATGTTTTATTAAGGCTTCTATCTTCTTTTTCATAAAATTGCATGAGTTTTTAAAAATGAAGTATTGCACTATGGCTGGTATGGCTCGGTGGATTGAGTGCCGACCTGTGAACAAAGGATTGGTGGTTCGATTCCCAGTCAGGGCACAATACCTGGATTGCAGGCCAGGTCCCCAGTAAGGGGTGCACAAGAGACAACCACACATGGATGTTTTTCTCCCTCCATTCCCCTCTCTAAAAATAAAAATAAAAAAACAAGGTATTGCTAGAACAGATGGAGAGCAACCACATGAGTTTGCTCATAGCCCTCCTCCTGATACAGCTGCTGCTGCTGCTGCTTCTGCTGCTCTTCTTGCTAAAAGAACAATGGTCAGGAGCAGGTAGTGATGATACTCCGATATAAAGTTCTTGTGCAAATTGGTTACACACTTTTTTGGGGGGAGCTAGGATTTTATTTTATTTTTAAGTATATTTTATTGATTATACTATTATAGTTGTCCCAATTGCTTTCTCCACTTTATCCCCCCTCTGCCCTGCACTCCTTCGCCATCTAGTATTCCTCCCCACCCCCCAGTTAGTTCATGTCCATGGGTTGTACATATAAGTTCTTTGGCTTCTCTTTTCCAATATTCTTCTTAACCTGCCCCCATCTATTTTATGCCTACCAGTTGTGCTTCTTATTCCCTGTACCTTTCCTCTCCTTCTTCCCCCCTCCTTCCACACTGATAACCCTCCATGTGATCTCCATTTCTGTGATTCTGTTTCTGTTCTAGTTGTTTGCTTAGTTTTGTTATTGTTGGGGTTTTTTAGGTTCAGTTTTCCCCCCTGTATTCCCCTCTACCCTGTATACTGCCTTCCACCCACATTCCCCCTCTTTAGTTCATGTCCATGGATCATACATATACATTCTTTGGCTTCTATATTTCTTATACTATTCTTAACCTCCTTCTGTCTATTTTCTACCTACCATTTATGCTACTTATTTTTCTGTACCTTTTCTACCTCTCTCCCACTGATAACCCTCCATGTGATCTCCATTTCTGTGGTTCTCTTCCTGTTTTAGTTGTTTGCTTAGTTTGTTTGTTTTTTTTTTAGGTTCGGTTGTTAATAGTTGTGAGTTTGTTGTTGTTTTAGTGTTCATGTTTTTTATCTTCTTTTTCTTAGATAAGTCCCTTAAACATTTTATATAATAAGGGCTGGGTGATAATGAACTCCTTTAACTTTACCTTATCTAGGAAGCACTTTATCTGCCCCTCCATTCTAAATGATAGCTTTGCTGGATAGAGCAATCTTGGATGTAGATTCCTGCTTTTCATGACTTTGAATACTTCTTTCCAGTCTCTTCTTGCCTGTAAGGTTTCTTTTGAGAAATCAGATGATAATCTTGTGGGAACACCTTTGTAGGTAACTCTATCCTTTCCTAATGCTGCTTTTAAGATTCTCTCTTTGTCTTTAATCTTGGGTAACTTAATGATGATGTGCCTTAGTGTATTCCTCTTTGGGTCTAATTTCTTTGGGACTCTCTGGGCTTACTGGACTTCCTGGAAGTCTGTTTTCCTCGCCAGATTGGGAATATTTTCTTTCATTTTTTCAAATAAGTTTTCAATTGCTTAGTCTTGCTCTTCTCCTTCTGGCACCCCTATGATTTGGATGTTGGAACATTTAAAGATGTCCTGGAGGTTCCTAAGCCTCTCCTCATTTTTTTGAATTCTTGTTTCTTCATTCTGTTCTCGTTGGATGCTTGTTTCTTCCTTTTGTTCCAAATCTTTGATTTGAGCCCTGGTCTCCTTTCCTTCACTGTTGGTTCCCTGTACGTATTCCTTTATTTTGTTTTGTGGAGCCTTCATTTCTTCCTTCATTTTGTGACCATGCTCAATCAATTCTGTGAGCATACTGATTACCAGTGTTTTGAACTCTGCATCAGATATGTTGTCTATCTCCTTGTCACTTAGCTCTTTTTCTGGATTTTTGATCTGTTCTTTCATTTGGGCCAGATTTCTTGGTCTTGGTGCACCTGTTAAGTCGTAAGGGTTCAGAGCCTTATGTATTTGCCAGGCCTGGGCACCCCACGTTGTTGCTGCATTGTGGCGCTGCCTGTCGGGGAGGCTACAGAGAGGGAACAATGCTACTCGCTCGCTCTGCCCTAGCCCCACTTTCTGATGAACTCTCCTGTGAGCCTGGAAGTTTCTCCTAATGTCACAATCCCCACAATATTCTACAGCTAGAGGTTTTGAGTCTTTAGTTTCCTGTTCAGCCATCCCCCCCCTGGCCTGTGTGGTCTGCTGCCTTGCCACTGGTCCTCTCTGCCTGGCTGCCCGTCTCTGCCCCCTCCTACTGGTCTGTTTGAATGTTTCTTTAACTCCTTGGTTGTTGGAGTACCATGCAGTTTGATTTTCTGGCACTTCTGGTTGTTTATTGTTTTTAAATTGGTTGTTAAAATTGGTTGTTATTCTTCTTTTGGTTGTGTGAGGAAGCGAAGCGTTTCTACCTACGCCTCCATCTTGGCAGGAACCCTCTGGTTACACATTTCTTAAATGTTAATTAGGCTCCATTTTCCTTCCTTAGGGAAAGTCTCATGTACCTTTATTCATTTGTTTGGGAGTCAGTCTGGTTAAATTAATAGTAGGTAATATGTATGTAGCATTTACTGTGTGCCAGGTACTGATCTGTCTTTATATATATTAACTTATTTAATTTTCACAGTAATCCTTTCATATAAATGTTGCGGTTATTCTCTATTAAGTGGCAGGGGCTGGACTTAGACCCTGACAGTTGGCTTCAGAGCTCATACTCTTAACTACTCACTCTGTAAATACAGGCTCTAGAGTCATTCTCTCCAGGTTCAAATTCCAGTTCCATTACTAATAACTGTGTGAATGACCTTGATCAGTTACTTGTCTCCTGAGTGTCAGTTTTCTAATCTGTATGCTCTATTGCATATAATGCAACTCTGTCCAGTTTTGGCACATAGTAAACTCACTATATATTTAGCTCTTATTAGCTGTTTGTTAAAAATCTATACTTAGAATGCCATACCATGTGCTTTCAAGGAGCACTGCTGGTTTATCTCTTTTCTAAAATAGTATAGGCACTATGCCTTGACTGGTATGGTTCAGTTGGTTGGGTATCATCCTGCAAAATGAAAGGTCAACGGATCGATTTCCGGTCAGGGCACATGCAGGGTTGCAGGCCAGTTGGGGCACGTATGAGAGACAAATGATCGCTATTTCTCTTGCACATTGGTGCTTTTCTCCCTCTCTTTTACCCTCCCTTCCCTCTCTCTAAAAAATAAATAAATAAAATCTTAAAATGGTATGGGTACCATAATGTGCCTGTGTCTTAAAGCTCATAGCTGAAAGAGAATGTTCTACATTTCTATCATCTCTTGTGGTTAAGTGTGGGAAAGAGAATTTTGTCAGAGAAGGGAAGAATATTCCTGTTGATTCATGTTGTAGGTCACACAGGTAAGTCAGGGGAGCTAAAACAGGTCACTCCTTGATTAAAACGTAACCATCCTCTATCTGGCAAGCTTATTTGTCCTGTTTGACCTTTAGGAGAAAGATATACATGTATGGAGCAGGAGGGGGCAGTTGACTCATCCTTGCAATTCCACTAAATCAGCCCTAGCCTTTAGGGAAATGATAAATGTGGAAGCCAGGTTACCTGTATATCACTGCTCCAGTATAGATTATAAACAATTGCAAAAACTGAGTACGGAAACCTTTTAGTGGGGAGTGGAAGGAGGGGAACCCAAGGCAGAGGAGGATGAGGAGTTTGATAGAAAGTGAAAAAAATTCCTGGTGAAAATAGTTGAAAATAAATCCTTATATTTTCCTCCAGGATAGCGATTTCCAACCTTTTTCATCTCACAGCACACATAAACTAATTACTCTAATTGTGTGACACACCAAAAGATATTTTTTGCCAATGTGACAAAAAATATAGGTATGAGTTTGATTCATTCATACCGGACGGCTGTTGTGGTGTTGGCTGCTGTCATTTTTTTATTTGACAATGCTGTCATTTTTTTATTTGACAATCTAAGGGAAAAGAGGTCAGTGCCCCTGACTCAACAGTCAGGGATGCATGTTTTTAAAAGTCCTGCAGCACATTGGTTGAAAACCGCTGCTCTAGGATGAAGACATTTTAAACGGAAGATTGGCACAGGCTCTGTGTGATTATTCTAATAGTGCTATTCTGAGATGCATCTTTATTCTTCTTATTTGCACTTTATACCAGGGGTCTGACGGATCTTTGTTCTTTCCTTCTGTCTAGTCCTGAGGCTTTCTACCAATGCAGGCCAGTGGAAGGAGGCTGCTAGCAAGGTGACCCACGCATTGGTTAACATCAGGTAAGGAATGAGATTTTCTCTCTTTAAGAGTTCATTGGCTCATCCTGAGGTTTATTGTACTTTTCTAAGTGGAGTGTGTTGAACCCCACTACTATTTTAAGCCCTGATGTCTGTAGGAGTGAAAGAAATTGTCGTACTTGATCAGGAAAAACAGAAGTGCATGAGGCTTTCGTTTGTCATATTGAAATAGCTCACAGTGCTGTTCTGTGAATCTCCTTACTCAGAGAGGGTTGCAAGGCCTTTTCAGGCATCTTTACTGCCAAAGTATTTTCTGTGTAGAGGCCATCTGAAAGCTTTTCTCTGAGATTTTTTTCTGCTGTTCTCAGTTCAAAGAGTGACTCATGGGAATATGGAACTTTGACGTTTTGCTTCACATGGCTATTTCTATTTGTGGGAAACAGAGGCAAATGGAGCTCGTGGGGCTGTCATTTTAGATTCCTTATGAAACAGCAAGGCAATTACAGAGTGCTGTAGGTACTGGATAAAACTGAGTCACATATGGAGTTGCTTTAGGGTCTTAAGGAAATGCCACGGGAGTGAGCTGTTTATAAATGGAGAGAATGTGCTTTCAGTATTAGGAAACCTAAAGCTGACTTTTCTTATATTCCTTGCTCCCTTTGTGCCTATCATTTTCCATTTTTCTCAAGTTATTAAATTGTTCTTGCAAACAATTGAAAAATTAACCTTGAGTGGATGAGGCAAAGCCAACAGATGGAGAAACTTGATTTAGCCCCAGATGTAAGCCTTGCCAAGCATTCCCAGTAATAGTAGAAGTACATTTACAACTTGGTAGAGATTCCGATGTGTGACAGAGTTGGTAGTCAGTGTGTTTCCATATCTTCCTGCTTTTTCAAAAAATATATTCTGTCCCTGTAGTGATTTACTATTGTGTTTGGCACATCTGGGAATGAAAGAAAAAATGTGAACTGTGCGCTGGGAGGGCTGGGGTGAGAGAGCATGGTGGTGAGACGTGCTAACGAGGCTGCAGTGAAGGTTGATCTGCCTTACCTGACCCCAGAGACATTTTATAGCAGTGACAGTTTTATAAATCTCACAAATAAATGCATATCTACACCTAGCAAACAAACCAGATATTGTAGTGAGGCCTTAAGATAAATGTGATTTTCTGTAGGAACTGGAAATTACAAACTGCCTTATTCCAAATATCCCTTTGTGACCCAAGGGCAGTATGACAAATGTGGGTATTTGAAAGAAGCACCAGATTCCGGTTTGAGTATGAAGAGCATATGGGTATAATTTATGTTGCGTTTATTTATTCATATGTTTACTTAGGCTTTCCAGGGAGCTCCTTCTCATCTGGGGCCTGTTTCCGTGATCACATTCCTTTTTGCTTGTTTCATCTCCCACTTTGTTGCTTTTCCTTTCAGTGGCTTCTGGCCTGGCAGCTGTCCTTATTCTTTTTAAGGACCATCAGACAGCTGATTTAAGATCTTGGCCTGTCCCTTTTTTGAGTAGGCCAGAAAGGACTGAGCTGAGTTCAGATGCCCATAACCATGACCTCTTCCTTCTCTTTGTTAGTCTCTGTTAGGCCTGTGCCCCATTTTCATTCCTCAGGTTTTTTTGATGAATTTGCTGCAGAATTATTACATCACCTTCACTGTTGCTAATGAATTAGACGCAGACTATGTGTCAGACGTGTGAAAGATGCAGTCATTTTTCTCAAGAGGTTCCTGGAAAGATGTATTTGAATGTCACTTACCACACTAAGGCCAGATCAGGGGAAAATATGGATGATGCTAAGACTGTAAAAGTTAACTTCTTTTCTTTCTGACATTTATTTTCATTTAAGTTCTATACCTTGTGCTGCTCTTTTTTTTTTTTTTAAGATTTTATTTATTTATCTTTAGAGGGGAAGGAAAGGAGAGAGGAAGAGAAACATCAATGTGTGGTTACTTCTAGTGCGTCCCCTGCTGGGAACTGGCCCCTGCTGGGGGCTGGCCTGCAACCCAGGCATGTGCCCTGGCTGGGAATTGAACTGCGATCTTCTGGTTTACAGGCCCACACTCAATCCATATATACTGTCTTCTTCAGTCCTCAAATTCTATAAATAGACTGTATTATAAATTTTTAAATATATACTTTGTATCAACAAGGAAACTGAGTCCCACAATGGTCATGTGGCAAAGCTGAGAATTAATCATAGGTCTCTAACTCCCAAGTCCAGGGCTCTTCCTTCTGTACCATAATGCCTCCTTCCGTAGAGTTGCATCAGTGGGTTGCATGGAGGTGAACAGAAAACGCAGCATGATGTATTGAAAGGAGTGTGGAAATTTGAGTTAGAGAAACTGGATTTTTTGTTTTGTCTCTTAGTATATGACCTTGAAGTTATTTAGCCTCTCTGGACCTCTTTCCACTCCCTACAAAATGGAGGTCATGACGATATCAGCTGTTTCCTAGGAAAGTGGTTGTGAGAATTAAAGGATGTAATGTATGTGAGAGCGCTTAGTAAGCTATAAAATACTGGTCATTTCACTTAGCCTCCTGTCTTTCAGGTTCATTCCTATTGTAGCATGTGTCAGAATTTCCTTCCTTTTTATGCTGAATAATATTCCATTGCAAGTATATGCCACATTTTACTTATTCATTCATCCACTGATGAAACCCCCAGTGAGTTGCTTCCACATTTTGATTATTGTGATTTTAGTTATTTGCACATGGGTATGCAGACATCTGTTCAGCCTCTGCTTCACTTCTTTTGGATGTATACCCAGAAGTAGAACTGGTAGGATCACATGGTAATTCAGTGTTTAATTTTTTTTGAGGAATTGCCATACCTTTTATCAGGTTTAGCATTTTGAGCCTTCCTTAGAATGTTTCCTAAGTATGGCTTCATTTGTCCTTTTTATAAAAGTTAAAATGTTACCCTTAGCCTTAAAAGATGTGTTTCTTTTCTTTTCTTTGATGCTGGGGGTCTAGGGAGTTTTTGGTTTTTTTTTCCGAAGTGTTAGTATTTTTCTCAGCTGAGGGCAAAAAAGCAGCATGCCTGCAAAGTCTCTCTTCCACTGAACCAACGGTAATGAACACTGCATTTTTATGCTCCTTTGCTTTCTTCTAAGAGCTCATGTTGTGTATCCATGACACTAGTAAATTTGGGTGACTCAGAAAACAGGAGACTGTGTCAGAAAATGGGACCTGTGGGTCTCCCCGGGGATACTGTGAGATATTTAAATAGTAGCCACCAACTTGATCATTAAGGATAGAGTGTATAAAGGCTTAGCAGTAAAATTGTGATGGTATGTGACATTTACTTCTGTTCTTTATAAAGGTGTTTGTGCTGATCCCATACCTGGAAAGAATTTCTAAGGCAGAGCAAATGAACTCTTAGCTGCCTCTCCTGTAGTATGTTCTTTGATAGCCATGGGAAGGGATTGGATTGCATGGGAAACTTTCAGACACCTAACAGCTGGGGGAGCCTGTGACACTGATTTGCTGGTTGACCAAGGCTACAAGTTATGCCTTCGGGATCTTCTGGAATGCAGTACATCTAATGGCAAGCCTGACGTAGTGTGTCACCAGCAGGTGAAAGGCAGCAGAAAAGCTGCAGACCTTTCTGTTCTTTGGGGTTTAGATTGTGATAGTGAATATTAAAAAAGTACTTGCACATGTTTGGAGTCTTAAATTTGCTCAAGTGTCAGACTGTTTGCTTTTCACTTGTCTCTCCTGGCTTAGTCATGCTAGTTCTTTAATTGTCAAAGTTATTTGTATTTAAACAATTTGTCTTTCTCTTCCTGTTTGATCCTTCAGAGATATTCTTAAAATGCATCTGCTTAGAAACTGCTATTTTTGTTGGGACACCTGACATCATTACCATACAGGGCCCTATGTTTGTTCCTCCCCATAGGAGGCTTGTTCCATTGCTTTGCCACAAGAAAAATAAAACATTGTAGCTCCATCTTTGAAATTCCACTTGGTATAATTGTTGCTGCAGCTGCCTTCACAGATCTACTGGTCCAGAAAAGAAGGATACTGTGAGGGGCCAGGTGCAAGGATGCAAGGAGAAAATATTTGGGAAGTTTTGCTTGGAGACTTCCATACTAAATATTTCCTGCCACCGCTTAGCAGATTCCTCCAGTGGAGTCCTGTAGATGTGTGCTGACTGTTAACCTAATTAGTCAAAGAGAAAAAAATGTGAGACTAAATTTTGACCTTCATTTAACCAAACAACTTTCATGGTAATTTGAAGCCTTAAATGAATCTCTTCAAGTTAACACCTTAATGCTTTTCACTTAACAAGCATTTTATCAGCCCCAAGTTCACAGCCCTATTCTCTGGTTGCTCACAGAAGTAGTGGCTGAATCACTGCAAGTAGGGTTTTTTCCTGATCAGTAATTTCTTTAAATTGGGTAAAATTTGAACTCTGTGGTTTATATATTAATTTTTCCCCTTATTTTGAACGTGTTAAGCTGAAGTTTAGTTTTTCCTCAAGAAAGACTTTTTTAGATATTGCTATAGTTAGTGACAAGCGTGGGGTTTGGAATGAGACTTCAGTGCATTTCTTTGTCAGTCTCTTTAACTGTTCACCTAGTGTGTTTGCCTCTTGCCCCCCTACTTGCTCCATGGTCTTTTTGTTCCAATGCTAAGGTGGTCCATCCTCCTCTCACTCACCTCAGTTCCTGCTTATGTGCTTATGTAGCTGTTTTTCTTTACTCTGGGGAAAAAAATACTCCCTCCAAAAAAGGAGGAAGAGGAAAGCCTTAAATGTGCACTTTGCTTGGTAGGCGAAGGGACAAGAATAGCTCTTAGCAGCCTCTAGATAAGGGGGTTCGTGGAGCTTCACACCCTTTGGAGCAGGTTGTGCACAGAATTCTGGGTGTCGAGGAATGAAAGTCTTCAGGCAGGAATCAGAGAGAGCACACTCACTGTTGATGGCTGCAGAGTTAGGGTTGGGAAGGGGGTGCGAGCTCTCTGTTACATAAAGTTCCCCCAGATCCCCTTGCCCAAGTACCCATTCGGCTACAAAATTAGTCACAGTTTTCTTA